CACACTACATTGTAGGCACTCAGTAATCTTTATGTTATTCTTTCAGGAGGCAAAGGGAGCTAAGGAGAACATACATTAAATTAAAAAAAGATAAAGCTACAGAATGACACTTCAAAACTTTATTGCCATCTTATTATTTTGAGGAATGCCCACTGTATCACTCATGTCTCCAAGAAGAAAGCATTGCGTGTATATGTAGAGATGTGTGTGTATATGTATGTACGTATATCTGTTTACTCTTTGCTGTCACTCTAGCCATCCAGGCTTTGGACAAATTTGGCACTACTCTCTTGACTGTTTTTCACAAACCAGCCTGGCATGTATCACTGTAGAACTTCTGTTCTAGTTCTTTTACTTGGACTTTGGCACGTGCGGTATTTAAATTCTACTGACCAGTGCTGCCTTCTCCATGGGGATGTGCCCGCAACCCAGGTACATGCCCTTGACCGGAATCGAACCTGGGACCTTTCCGTCCGCAGGCCGACGCTCTATCCACTGAGCCAAACCGGTTTCGGCCAGAGACTGGATTTTTTAATCCACAGATAATTATGAAATTCTCAGTCCCCTTTCCAAATTCCATCACTCTGTGGTCCTTGATAATAATCATCCCTCTTGTTTCTTGCTGTTTTATTGCTTGTGATCTTTTTCTTTTGTCTTAGCAACAGGTTGCTTTGTTGTATATTTTTATTTATTCATTCTATTCTTGTATTTTAAATCTTTATCGTTGAGAGTATGACAGTTGTACTCCCCTCTCCCCCTCATTGCTCCTCCACCCAGTTCCTGCCCCATCCCAGGCCTTCACCACCTTATGGTCTGTGTATCTATAGGGATTACCCAAAATATGCATACACAGTATTAGGCTGATGGCCCAATTGATGTTTCTTTCTTTTCAGATTTAACCTATTGGAATTAATAATTATTCAAAGTGTGTATACATTTTTGAAGACACCCTGTATATCTGTAATCCAGATTAACTTTAGGGGCAATTTCTGTGTTTTATATGTGAACAAATTAGCATACTTATGTATGCTGAATGAGACAAATTTCAACAAATGCGTAAGACACAATAAATTTATAATAAATATTTGTTTATTGACAGAGTTTATGAATTTTTTTATCCTTACCCAAGGATATGTTTTTATTGATTTTAGAGAAGAAGGGGGAGAGAGAGAAACACCACTGTGAAAGGGAGCCATCAATCAGTTGCCTCCCTACGTGCTCCAACTGGGAAACAAACCCAGAACTTCTTGGTGTACTGGGGACGCTCCAACCAACTGAGACACCTGGCCGGGGCCAGAGCTCATGGATTTAAAACATTCATATTTTTTCTTTATTCATATATTTTTTTCTACATTCATCGCTCTGTTCTTTAATGATGAATCAAGGCTGGGCTTGGCTGCTGTAATGAGATTCTACAAGTCTAATGTCCAAGGTCAGACTGTTGTAATGAATGAGGTGTCTACAAGTCTGATGTCCAGTCTGATATCCAAGGTTGGTACTGAGTAGTGGGTGAGTCACCACATGACTAAGAGTCATTGGTGTGACCTATTGTCTAATTTTTGACAGGGTAACAAAAGTATGAGAACGAAGAAGCACAGCAAGTGGAGCTGTTGTGTATATACAGTGTGTGCATGCACATATACTCTCTGGGAGTGACTTCAGGCAATGCACATTTAGTGCTATGAGATAAAGTATGTTGCTGTTAGAATTACTGACAGTCCCCATAAATGAGTAGAAACAGGTTTAGAGATCTAGGAGGTAGGTATAAAATATGCTGGCTTATTCTGATTTATGGGCATGGATTCATGGGCTGGTGTTATCCTAATGGGGGCTTTATATACATTAGCTCCTTAAAGTCACCCTTAGTTTCTTAAAAATGTATGGTCATGTCTGATTCTCTGTATGTCATTCTCAAATATGACAGTCTAGTCAAAGCCTTGATAATATAACTAATGTTTATAATTGTGTTCTATTAAAAGAACAGATTCTTATTGAACTTATTCAGATAACTCAATTGCCATGAAAGTAAGAATACTCACGAAGAGTTTACGAATTTTGGAGGGATCAGCTGGAAAAAAAGATAAATGCTTCAGTTCTGTTTATAAAGGTACTAGAGGCCCGATGCATGAAAATTCGTGCAAGAGTAGGCCTTCCTTCCTCTAGCTGCTGGCACCAGCTTACCTCTGGCACCCAGGACCCGGGACCGGGCTGGCTTCCCTTGGGCTACCCACAGGCACCTGAGACCTGGGTTGGCTTCCCTCAGGCCACCCGCAGGACCCAGGACCCGGACTGGCTTCCCTCCGGCCCCAGCTTTGTCAGGAAGGACGTCTGAAATGGCGTCTGGAAGACGTCCGGTCTAATTAGCATATTACCCTTTTATTATTATAGATAATTTATCAAATTGCTATAAGTTATAGGTGGCTTAAGAGAAGAGAAAAATATTTTCTCAAATTTGGAAAACAAAACATTAAAGAACCAGTAATGCTTCAAACAAAAGTCATAAAAATTATAATTATCCACATCAGTTCTATGTAATTAATTCTTGTGCTGCTCAATTTTTGAATAGCAGTTTCATGAGTCCATCCGCTTCTTTATTAGTTCTGGAATTCTTAGTCCAGTATCATGGTCTCAAAGTTATAGAGGTGATGCCATCATGGAGCTTTCTTGCAGTGGCTGATTGTCAATATTTTCAAGGAAGAATCAGTAAATCAATAACTGTGATGACAAATGACTTAAAAGTAGTCATGGTTAAAATTCTGATGAGAGTTCATTTGATAAGGGGGTTTAGTTATTTCTGTGGCATACAAAAATTTAAGATAATAATTGGACAACAAGGACATTGACATATCTATGAACTTCATATATTCTAGAATACTTAAATTAAAAAAATATATATTTATTGATTTTAGAGAGAACGGGAGAGAGAGAGAGAGAGCGAGAGAGAGAGAGAGAGAGACGAGAGAGAGAGAGCACATCAACCATCTTTCATTTATAAGGTGAAAGAGATTTTGTAGGGTCCCTCTGGGAAACCTCAAAATTAGTTTGAGTTGAAACATTTTATTTGGGATTTGATTTTAGAAAATTTTCCAAAAATATAAAAAGGTTTGAACACTTGACCAGATAGAATCACAGATTATTATGAAACAAGGCTTAATTACTTAACCTAAGTGAAAAAGATTTTTAAAGCAGATATGGAAGGCTATATAGTTGTGAACAGAACTTAGCTCCTTTAATATTGAGAAGACTCAGTTTCCTTAAGTTATCAAAGACCTGAAAATACAATATGAAGCACAGAAACTTATTCTAAGGTACAGCATCTTTTTTTCTGAGACAGATTTCTTAAAAGGTACAGAAAACTCAGAGGAGTAGTGATGTTTTTTTTAACATTTATCACTTAACATTAATAAGGTGCTATGCTCTTTACATGCATTATTTTATTCAGTCTCTGAGGAAGATATTATTATTTTCATTTCACAGATAAGCAAAACACTTAGTGAAGTAACTTGGCCAGAGTCATACATCTGTCAGTAATAGCGCCAGTATTTGAACCTGTCTTGCATTGCACTTAAGGTCTTTATAACTATGTTTTATGGCATATATGAATGACTTGTTTAAGGTCATGTAATTCTAAATTGTAAAGCCAAGGAAAAAATTTAAGGTTTTCGGTTTCAAATCCATGGCTTTTTTGACCACAACTTGCCACCTCTCGACATAGGGTTATTGAATCTATTTCCCTAAGCTCCATGTCAGAAATACTGAAAAATTAGATACTATTGTTAGGATTATCATTAAAAGGTCTTGAAACTGCAAACTGAAAGGTTAAGAATTGGTTTGGAGAATTAACATTTTATTGACTGAAAATACACTTGAAAGATGTTTTTTAATATTTTGCCTAAGCCAGGGCAAACCATTATATCAACACTTTTCAACCAAAGGTCATATCTAAATTCTGCTGCCTGGGCAGGCGCTAGTTCAGTGAGATTCAAAGATGGTTTAAGTCACTTTTAAAACTGATACATCCTCTGGCAGTTAATGTCAGTGCATCTCTGTGGCGTTCAGCTCAGATCATGTGAAGTGTTGCCATAATGGCTTCAGTTATGTGACCATGGTTCTCAATTTCATAGACACAGCTTGTCTGGCTTAGCCACCTCACCATACATATTTATTGGTAACATGCAAGCTTCAAGGATCATTTGATGTGCAAATTTAATTGCAGGTTTTATTTTTAAGTGATGACATAGCTGTATCATTCTAACAACTATTTACACAGTTTTTTCTAGACTGCTACTCTGAAAACAGGCCTTTCATTCTGATTTAATTGTTCGGAGCTGCTTGCTCAGTATTAGCTTGTTAAGGTAATATGTAATGAGTCTTCTAGTAGAGTCAGGCTTTGAAATTAAACTTGGGCATTTCTCCTGATTTTTTGGTAAGATAGTACCTTATCAACATTCACAATTCATTTTCTCTATTGCTGATTGTTCCCCTCCCTTTCCTCCTTCCTCCCTTCCTCCCTAGTGCCACAGCTCGTGATTATATTTAGGGAGGTTAAGCCTCATTATCTGTCTAATGTAATATCTCCTGACTGTATTACAGCGTTAAGGTAAAAATGCCCTGGGAAGCTTTGGTACTCTTATGTGAAATGCCGTTTTCTTTCCAAATGGCACTAAGAGTTTAGAAGTACCCATGATTTTAATAAGCGAAAATAGTCCAGGCCTTTTTTTTTTCTTTTAGGAGCTTAACCTTTCTATGGATAACACAGCTTTTGGGGATGATGTTATGTTCAAAAAATGCTGTTTTATAAAGAACATCTTGTCAGTTCTTTTGGTATGCATTCAGCAAACCAGTTATGCCGTGTGCTAGCACTATCTTGAGTTAGGTGAAAGGCGAAATCTTAACGATGGGAAATGTTGGTATTATATGCCAAAAGCTTCCATTTTCAATGTCTCTAAGAAATTCTTTGTATCTATTGTGTTTCAGCAGAGTCTGTATTTAAATGGGAAAATTTCAGCAGAAATTGGAGGTTCTGTCAAAGTGTTGTTTGATAATTTGTGAGGTGAATTTACAGATGCCCTTCTAGCAATGAATAATTTCTCCTCATTTATCATTAGGTTGTCTATTTGGTAAGTTAACTTTTCTGGAAATTTATCATTGTATGTTGAAAAGAGTAAAACTGACATTTACTATGTTTTGGCCAAAATCTAATTAAGTAGTTTTTCTCTTTTTTAAATTTGAATTTGGAAAGTCTTCTAGAGTATTAGATCTGAATGAGATCTTTTTATTTATAAATTTGTCTTATTGATCTCATTTTACAGGTGAGGAAATGGAGGCTGAGGGAGGTTAGGTTACTGCTCAAGGTTACAGAGCTATTAAGTGGCAGACTTGGTGCGTGAAAACAAGCCTTGGGTTTCCTAGTGCTGAGGTCTTTACACTTTACATGAATAGAAATGAGAAATCACTCTTTTCTCTTTCTTCTACCATTTTCTTCATTTTTTTTTGACTTTTTGATTGACATTGCCAAATAAGATTGTGATATATTGTAACGATACAGTGATTCCTAGGTTGAAAATGATATTTAAAATCTATAATCAAATGTATTTGTTTGGTGTTTCTGTTAGTATAGGCCTAAACATTGTCAATTTAAGGCAAAATTACATTACCATTTTGTTCACTTTTATACCGTTACACCATTTTGCAGTTCATCTTTGTGAAATTAGTATTTCCCTAACTTATAAAAGACTCATGCCAGTTGTGGACATGAAGATTTAATTATGATCTCATTCTCCCACTCTGTGGGAAGAATGAATAATGTTGGCTCTGATGTTTTTATTTATTCACCCCAAGCAGTGCCCATTTATATATTTTTTGTTTTCTGTCTTTAATCCAGTTTCTATGACCAAACAATAGCTCAAACCCAAAGTGACTCACTTAATCTTTTTTTATATTAACCAATTAGTTCTTCCTCTCATTCACATACCATGGATGTTTGCCCTTTTGTATACCTATAATATATTAGTAGTTAGACATGATTCTCCCAAAATAGGAATTAATATTGCATCTCCTATTCCTTCTCCAGATAAGTTGTTAAAACATTTGGTTGGTCATTCTACCCAAACAAATTTAGCTAGCTTAGCTTATATGTAATTGAGATTTGGTCATATGTAGTTCAGAGTTTCTTCTAGAAACCTCGTTTGGATTTTGTCTTGTTAGTAGCTCATTAATTTCTTATTCCTATTTTAAAAAAGGTTTTAAAGTTAGAAAGATAAGAAGGGTTGGTTTAGAGAAGAGAAAGCAGATAGTGAATCTTAGGAGAGGAAGGAATGATATATAAATGAGGAACTGAGTTTGAAGTGTACAGGAACTGAGAATCAAGTTCTGCTATATTTCCAAGATGAATGGATTGTGACACTGCTGATCCATTATTCTTGGCTGTCCTAACGATTTATGTGAATGACTTCATGTCATTTTGGATCCAGTGATCTTCGTTGATAGGTTTAGCTACAGCCTGTCCTATCTGCCAGCATATTTGTGGTTACAAAGTGTGGAATGTAGAGCAAGGTTACTCATAGAGATGTGTGTGTGTGTGCGTGTGTGCTGTTTCTAACTTCCTTCAGTGATTAATGGGAAAATGTGTGGTAATCAAATCTATAATGTTCCAAACATATAACGTTTATGGTTAGTTCTGTTAATTGCCCTGTCTTAGAAGGGTGAGGGAAGAAACACCCCATGAGCATTGCTTAGATTGTGCCATGTCACTGGTGTCCTGAGTATGCATATGAATGATTAAGGTGTTAGTCATTGCAGCTTTTTGTGAGTATTCTGCATAATGATTAGTCATATATCAGCATGTACCAGATTAGCCCTTTTATGAAACTACTAGAGGCCTGGGTAGGGTCCCTAGACTTGGCCGATCGGGGCCTTTCGGCTGCCAGCCAGGGCCTCCGTTCCCCGGCTGCCAGCTGCCGGCTGGGGCCTTCCTTCGTTCCGCGCCGCCCCCTGGTGGTCAGCACACATAATAGCGAGCAATCAAACTCCTGGTCTCCCAGTTGAACTCCCACGGGGACAGTTTGCATATTAGGCTTTTATATATATAGACTAGAGGTCTGGTGCACGGGATTTGTGCACTGGTGGGGGGGCATGGCCTGTAGGGATCGCCTAGTTGTGGGAGCACCGCTTATCCCAGTCAGCTGAGCGGCCATGGGTCTGCCCTCTGAGCAGCTGCTCCTGCTGTGGGAGTGCTGCTTATCCCTGTCAGCTGAGTGGTGCTCCCACTGTGGGAGTGCATTGACCACTAGGGGGCAGCTCCTGTGTTGAGTGTCTGCCTCCTGGTGGTCAGTGCACATCATAGCAACTGGTTGACTGGTCATTCTGGTCATTCCGCCATTCTGTCACTGGGCTTTTATTATATAGGATCATTAACATCTTTTTTAAAAAAAATATATTTTATTGATTTTTTACAGAGAGGAGGGGAGAGAGATAGAGAGCTAGAAACATCGGTGAGAGAGAAACATCGATCAGCTGCCTCCTGCACATCTCCTACTGGGGATGTGCCCGCAACCCAGGTACATGCCCTTGACCGGAATCGAACCTGGGACCCTTCAGTCCGCAGGCTGACGCTCTATCCACTGAGCCAAACCGGTTTTGGCGGGATCATTAACATCTTTATCATTGATTTGGAGCCGAAAAGTGTATCAGAATTCTGTTATTTTAACAGTAGGGTATTAAATGTACTTGTTAACTTATTAGAAAAATGATGTCTTAGAAGAATAAATGGGTCTATTTCTAAACAGTAACATTTCTGACAGTTAGCAGACCCATTGTCCTAAGAGATATTATCTTCTAAATGACAGGGGTTGGAGTTGGGATATACTTTAATAGTCCTTTGAGTTCAATGATACATTGAAATGTCCGGTTGGAATTTTATGATTATGTTTTTCATTTTGAAAAAGGCTTTCCCTTATATTATTAGTACTTTATATTGTTCTCTACATTGGTTCCAAAACTTGATTATTTTCTCTTGTCACTCCCTTGATAATGCTGCCCCACATCCTGCCCTTTTTTCCTGATGTCCTTCTGTTGCAGGCAGTCTGGGTTCCCTGGGATACAGACCCTGAGGTGGAAATTAGTGTGCAGGAAGTATGTTGGGAGGTTCTCTTAGGATCAACCCCTGTGGAAGGAAGGGAAGGAAGAAACCAGAATGGGCAGAGAGGAAGTTAGGCTGCCATGCAGGCTCAGTGGGGATCTGACCCTTGGGGAGCTCTGAAGCGGGACTGGCTCTTCACCATTGTCTCTAGCTGAGGAGAGGGTCACGTCTTTACATTCCCCATGTCAGTCTGTTATTGGCGAAGTTGGGGTATCCCCTTCCAAGTGCTGGGGGTGGGGTCATTATGATATCTCGAGAAAAATAATTTTCTGAGACTAGCATGGGTGGGTGAGTGATTTTCATTTGCATGGAATTACATCCCTGGGTTTCCAAAGTCCCATCCAGTCATAGAAGTGCAGCTGGGGATTCAGTAAAGCTAAAAAAAAAGCCAGTGTCCACAGTTTCTTTTCCATGTTGCAGCCGGGTCCAGTTCAGCATCAGGCCAGTTACAGTCCATTAGTCCACTGTGTGTGAAGGTCCATATGGCCATGGGCCATGTGGGTGAATGCAGGGAAGCACGCCCCAAGCAACCACAGTCCCAAGGGTCCCCAAAGCACAAGAGCACAAGAGAGTGAATTTCTTTGTTCAGGGAATTAAGTACCCCAGATTTTTCCCCCTTGCAGTGGCATGCCAGTTCTGACCGATAACCTGTTCCCAGGTGTGACTGACAGCAAGCACCTTCCCAACATCACCCCAACTTTAGTGGGCATGTGTCTATTCTCCCTGTCCAGTCCCTTCCCTCAGCGATTTGCTGAGAACAGACTGTGGCTTCCTGGGAAGTGTAAAGCTGTAGTTCCTGGTGAAGCTGCCCAAATGACATGCCTATAATATCTGGCCTTTCCTTTGCTCCTTTCTTGTTATTAATAACTAGGTTAATTACAATGGTATCAAACCCATTTTGGATGTGGGCTGCCCTGGGAAGGGCGCATGAGCTTTTGTGAGCAGACTCTTTAGCCAAGGACATTCTCAAGAAAGCTGATGGCTGAGGGCTGTATGCTGGTAGCACTGTAGCAACTGGTGAGTAATCCTTTCAGTCCTGAAAATGGTATCTTATGGTACAACACTGTTTCCACTTCACCTTTTTGCAAGAGTGCTGGAAATGGTTCAGAATGGCCTGGGGGATGGGTCAGAATTTCCCAGAATGGGGAGTTGGAGGACATACTGGTCAGGAGCTTGAAAGATGGTAGAGAAAAGTTGGTGTGGAGTAGGTTCTGACAGATAACTGAGTTCTGGCATTAATTATTGTTTTCCTAAAAAGATTTTAAATTTCTATCTATAGTGACACTGTTCCCTTTTTAAGTTACAGAAACCTGATGAAAACTCTGGGTGGTCATTTCAGAGCAGTGTGCATATTTGTAATTATATAAATCCTGTTTGGTTTTTTAAAACCTATCTATTTATTCAGTTTTCTATTCTCTCTCTCTCTCTCTCTCTCTCTCTCTCTCTCTCTCTCTCTCCACACACACACACACACACACACACACTAGTGGCCCGGTACACGAATTCGTGCACATTGAAAGGAAATTAATTAGAAGAAATATTTTAATATCACTATTTGCCCTTTCTCTATAATAAAAGTGTCAACCAAATTCACTATCGACAATGACAGATGGAAACACATGTGTGCGATTAGCGCCAGTGCGAGCTTTATATGTATCACGCATGGGCAAGTCCACTTGGCCTTTTATAGATGTAGAATAAACTTGCTTAATTAGACCTGCTTTCTGATTTAGCTAAACTTTTTCCAGCCCAGTGAAGCACCCCAACTTCTCTTTCAGGTAGTTGTCAGAAACCCAGCAGTAAATAACATGAAGCAGATTATTATTGTAGATCACGCAGGGAGAACAAAGGGTAAAATATTTAACTGCAGCAGTGTTTGACTATATTCTGTGCAGTGACAAAACCTGAAGTCATTTCCAAGATCCACCATTTCTTACTTCTTTTCAGATGAGTCAAGTTTCTAAGCTTTCTAAATCTCCA